ATAACTTGCCCCAAAAACTCCAGTTCGGGTTTTAAAAACTCGCAGTTAGAGCCTTTGGTGATGAGACGAGTCTACTGCAGGCGCTAAAAAAACTGCTTCCAGGTCCTTTAAGTGCTGCTCCCATGTCGTGTTGTAAATCAAGATATCGTACAGATAAATGATTACATATTTATCGAGCACTACTGCCCCACGCCCCACGCCCCATGCCCCATGCCCCATGCCCCATGCCCCACGCCCCATGCCCCATGCCCCATGCCCCATGCCCCATGCCCCATGTGCCCCCATGTGCCCCATGCCCCATGCCCCATGCCCCACACTCCAAACCCCTGCGCACTCACCTATCCCCATTGAGCTGCATCATGCACCCTGTTCATCGTCAGCTGGAACGTCGAGGGGGCATTCGTTAAACCGAACAGCATGATAGTGTATTCGTAACTCCCGTAGCGAGTACAAAATGCGGTCTTGTAGCAATCGTCGGCGAAGACTCGAATCTAGTGGTAACCGCTGCGATGGTCGATCTTCGAGAAATAGCGACCGCCTCGCAGCTGGTCAATCAGTTCGTCCGCACGTGGGATTGGGTAGCGAGACTTATCGTAACCCGATTAAGGGCGCGATAATCAATGCACATTCTGAGGCCCCCATCCTTCTTGGGTGTGAAGAAGATCAGGGCGGCGAACGAGGACGTACTCGGTCGAACGAACCCTTTGACCAGCAAATAGTCCTGCTGGTCCCGTAGTTCTTGGAGCTCGGGCTGCATCAACCGCCATTGTGTCCGGACAGTTGGCTGCGCGCTAGGCTCGAGTTTGATCCGATGGTCCTGCGGGCGTTCTGGTGGTAGGCCAGGTGGCAAGTCGTTCGGAAAAATATATGGGAATTGACCAATCAATTTGGCGAGATCTTCGGGGACTACCGTGTAGAGCTTGTCGATGTCGGCCGGTTGGTCGTCGTCCATTGATTCCTTCAGATGGACGGCGTACAGTTCAGCGCCTTTCTTGACCGCGTGTATCAGCGTGATAGCGTTGACGCGTGTTGTTATCGGCTCTGCTCCTTGCCAACTTGGCAGTATCTGTCGACCAGTCGCACACTTCACCGTGCATTCGCCTGTCATCCATCGATCTGCGGGTTGTGTCGCCGAAGCCAATCTCGTCCCAGCAGCACATCGTAGCCGTCGAGTGTCGTCGCCAGCATCGGCGTGCTGAAGCTGAAATTATCACCACACTTCATGCGAACAGTTCGCACGTGATCGCGTATCGCCAGCGGGTGCCCTCGACCAATCGGGCATCAATCCCAGGCAGGCACCGCTCCAGGGGTAAGTTTATTTTTTTTTGCCGTCGGTCGGTGAATCAGGCTATGGCTCGCACCACCATCGATAAAGTTTTTTTTACTTTTTTGTCGTTAACCCTTCCATCTACCAGCACAGGGTGATCCTCAGGCTCATCCCCGTTATTCGTCCGAGAGCGGTCCGATAGCGTGTACCGGTACCACTACCCGGTGGAGATGCTATTTCTCTGGCGATGCAGCCATGTCCATAGGGAGCCTGTCTGCTACTGACGAGAGTCGTTTCCTGTCTTATCCCCATTGTTGTTTTTTCTCTGCTTTCCGGCAGGGCAGTCAGCATATCGGTGACCCGGCTGGTGGCAGTGAAAGCACTGTCACTTTCTACGATCTTCGTCGTTCGCCACAATGCCGTTGATCAAGGGCTGTTGATCCCTGGCCACGAAAACGATTTCCCTTTCGGGAACCCGATCTCTCGTATTCTTCATTGGCGTCGTACAGGTCTGCGATCACCGCTGGTTCTTGGAATGTCGCTGGGCATTGCATCCTCACTTCATAGCAAACGTCGGATTTGAGCCCCATGATGAACCGATTCTTTTTCTCAGCTTCTGATAGGTCAGTCATTTGGTCGCACAGTGCCTGAAATGAGGACGCGTAATCCTGGACAAAAGGTCAACTGGCGCCAGGTGTCTAGCTTCATGCGTGCATCGTCTGAGCCGGATATGTGCTCAAAACGTGTGCACAGAACTATACCCCACGCTTTCCATGTGCGAATCTCAGTCCGATCCGAAAATTGACATTGCGTCCCGGGCAGCAGATTCTGAACTCCCGAAAAAACCCCTGAGTGTTCCCTGCCGAAGTCCCTCTTTCACTTAGCGTCGATCGCCACCAATCCAGTGCAGGTCCCCTCAGTAGCCAAGCAGCTAGTTTGATTTTTAAATCATCAACAGTAATCCTGACAGCATCGAAATAAAGCTCCATCGTGAAAAGCCAGCCCGTCATGGTGGTGTTTTTTGTTAGAATACGATAATAGTTTACTAGGAAGAAAAACTTAGAACATATACCTGTTGGGTTGTACTCACTAGAAGCACACACCTAGTCTAGCCTATAACTACTACATAGAACATATGTATAAGTTGACACACCCCCTAGGCTAGAGAAGGGGTGGTGCTAAGCAAGAAGCACACATCTCAGGGTGGCACTACTAGTCCAACCACTGAGGCAGGGGTCCAAAGACCAGTTAGCAAGAGTACAAACAAGACTAAAGCAAGCTAGGGCGGCACTACAAGTCCAGCCACTGGAGGTAAGGCCACAAGGCCAGTCTGACAGATATAAATAGTAGAGAGTACACAATCAGGGTCCTAACAAGTGAGAAGTGACAGGAAATAGACCAAGCAGGACACAGTGCCGCTGATGATCTTTAGGCACAAGCGCCTTAGTAAAGATATCAGCAGTGTTGGCACCGGAGGCCAAGTGAACTACGCGGGCCTCACGACGCTGCTGTAGCTCGCGCAGGAGGAAGTACCGCAGCTGGATATGCTTTGTTCTGCCCTCAAGCCGAGGCTCCTACCACAGGAGAATCATGGCCCGGTTGTCAGCGTACAAGACCGGGGCAGAGCTAGGCCGCTCACCTAAGTCTGTGAGCAAGAAGGTCAGCCAGCGGAGCTCCTGTGCCGCCATGGTACCGGCGTAGATCTCAGCCTCACAGCTGGACTGAGCAACAGACGACGAGCGAGTGGATCTCCAAGAGATAGCACCCGAACCAAGACTAAAACGGTAGCTCTGAGACGACCTGAGAGTCTCTGAGTCGTCTGCCCAAGAAGCGTCTGTGTGCCTAGTGAGGACCACTGGCCTGCGTCCTCCTAGCACTAACCCCATGCCCGATGTACTAGCAAGATAACGCAAAACCCTCTTAGCGGGAGACAAGTGCTGAGGTCGGTGTCTGCCTGTAGCCACAAAGCGAGCCAGGATGCTGAGAGGGTATGCGAGATCTGGGCGAGTGCAAGTCATCAGGTACACGAGGCAACCCACCAGCTCTGCGTAGGGGCCACTGGGCTCTACTGGCTCCTCCGCACAGCCCACACCTGCAGGCCAAGATAGCGACGCAGCTCTCCAAGGTCAGTGCAGGTGTGTCTCTTCAGCAGCTCGGCCTTCACAGAGGCCAGTGCGTCCCTGTCAGCAGTAGCGAAGACCAGGTCGTCTACGTAGACAAGGATGTAGAACGGAGTTTGGCCCGAACGCACAAACAGCGAGGGGTCAGCAGAGGACGGAAAGAACTGCAGGTCTGCTAACGTGGCCCGCAGCGTGTCGTGCCACTCACGGGGAGCCTGACGCAGGCCGTAGACCAGGCGCCAGAGAAGCCACTGGGTCCCAGGGGGGAAGGTACCAGTGAAGCCCTGTGGTCGGCGCAGGTAGACCTGCTCGTGTAGGCTGCCCTGAAGAAAGGCGGTAGAGAAGTCGAGGGAGTGAAGCTCGTAGTCGCGCTGTGCTGCTACGTGTAGCAGCGCCCGAAGAGTGATCATCTTTGGGGTCGGGGCGAAGGTCTGGAAGAAGTCAACCCACTCGCTCTGACTGAAGCCTCTAGCCACGTAGCGCGCCTTGAAGACAGGCAGCTCTCCAGGGGGGCGCTTCACATTGAAGAGCCACCGACCATCGACTACGTTCACCCCAGGCGGGGGAACTGCGTCGACGTAAGTGCCGGTGGACCTCCAAGATGCCATCTCCTGCTCCATGGCAGCTATCCACTGAGAGGCCCAAGGTCCCGAGGTCGCCTCAGCGTAGGTGCAAGGGGTCGGGATGTCGAAGGCGTCTGGGTCACCCTCAGGGACTAACAGCATGGAGCAGAGATGGGGAGCGGCCTCGGAAAGGAAAGCAAGCTCGTACTGCCTGTCCTCTAGAACGTCACTGCCAAGGGCAGGAGTACCCCCGACGGACGGAGGACGGGCAGGGTCAGAGACTAGAGCGGTGGAGTAGTCAAGGCGGCAGGTAGAGGCAAAGTTAGCGACAGCAGCGATAAACGCGTCAAGGCGCGTGACAGGAACAGAAGGGTCGGTAACAAGACGGGACGAGCACGGGAGGGACGGCGAGACCAAACGTGGGAAGCAGGTGTAGGGTCAGGAGACAGCGGAGGGGACACAGGAGGGGAACGAGGAGGAGGACGGGCCGGAGACGAGTCCAGCGGTGGGAACACAGGACCGTAAACAGGAAAGTCAAGAGGCGGTGGGGGAGACACCGGCAAGCGGTCAGGGGAGGGAGGCCCGAGCAGGCGGAGAGCGGAGACTGGCGGCGACGGCTGCTGCGGCTTCTGCGACTGCTGGGCCGGAACCCTCGGACCGGCACGACGACCGTCGGCAGAACACTCAACAGCAGCACCCCCAGAGCAAGAACCCCCTCCAACACGAGCGGCACCCCCAGGGGCCGCAGGACGAACACCCTCCTCAACGCCAGCACCTCCAGAGGCCTAGCGCGGCGGCAGCAGCGGCGGCGACAGTGGCGGCGGCGACAACGGCGGCGGCGGCAGCAGCGGCGGCGGCGGCAGCGGCGGCGGCGGCGACGGCGGCGGCGGCTGCGGCGTAGTCGGCGACTGCGACAGTGGGGGCGGAGACACCGGGGGAGGCGGACGCGGCAAGGACGGGCCGGGGGTACCACCAGAGTCAGCAGACTCCTCAACGGGGACAACCGATCGGAGGGGAGTGACGTGAGAGACACCAGACGGGGCAGGATAAGGCGGGAGAGGAGCAGGGGCTACCGGGGGAGAAGGAGCAAGGAACAGGGGCGGGGCAACCAGGAGACCTCGGTGAGGGAAGCGGCGGTAGAAGGAGACAGACTCGTCAAAGGTGACGTCACGAGAGTGGAGGAAGCGGTGAGACGGCGGATGGTAGAAAAGCCAGTTTGACGAGTCAAGGGGGAAACCGAGGAAAGACACATGGCACAGTGCGGGCAGCGAGCTTGTCCATGCCAGAGGCACGAACGTGAGCAAGGCAGCCCCAGACGTGGAACGCAGACGCGTCACCTGGGGACCCGGTCCAAAGGAGGGTCGGCGAAACCTGCGGCCGCCGGGAGCGTGGCCACACGTGAAGCTGGTGAGCAGCGTAGCAAACAGCGAACGGCCACAGAAAATGGGGGGCATCGGCATGAATCATGGAGGTACGAGCAACCTCCATGACCAAGCCGATGCGGTGCTCAGCAACCCCATTCTGCTGGGGCGAGTCCGGCAAGGTGTACAACTGGGTGATGCCCTCCGCACGACAGAACTGTCCAAGCCGACCAGAGGCGAACTCGCCACCACGGTCAGAGTGGAGACACAACACGGGAGACCGTGGTGAAGACGTGCAGTCACAACCCACGGGAGAAGAACGTCGGGCACGTCGGCCTTCCGCTCCAAGGGAAACACCGTGGTGTAGCGCGTGTAGTCGTCGACGAGCATAAGGAAGTAGCACTCACCACGCGGTCCGGGGACGGGGCAGGGCCCCAGACGTCCAGGTGCAGGGTCTGAAGGGGGGCAGTAGCAGGGCGCAGCGAGGAGGAGTGAGGAGCACGGCGGAGCCGGCCCTCGATGCAGGGCGTGCACGGTGGCGCAGTCAAGGGGGGAAGGGCAGGGAGCGGCGCGGGGAGGCCTAAGAC